TTCACACACTGAGGTTAGTTATGGAGTTCCACAGGGTTCAGTGCTAGGACCAATTCTGTTTACATTATACATGCTTCCCTTAGGCAGCACCATTAGAAGACATAGCATACATTTACACTGCTATGCAGATGACACCCAGCTCTATCTGCCCATGAAGCCAGATAACACACACCAATGAGTTAAACTGCAGGAATGTCTTAAAGACATAAAGACCTGGATGGCCGCTAACTTTCTGCTTCTTAATTCAGATCAAACTGAGGTTATTGTACTCGGCCCTGAAAAGCTTAGAAATATGGTATCTAACCAGATTCTTACTCTGGATGGCATTACCTTGGCCCCCAGTAACGCTGTGAGGAACCTTGGAGTCATTTTTGACCAGGACATGTCCTTCAACGCACATATTAAACAAGTATGTAAGACTGCTTTCTTCCATTTGTGCAACATCTCTAAAGTTAGAAATATCCTGTCTCAGAGTGACGCTGAAGAACTAGTTCATGCATTTATTAGTTCCAGGCTGGACGACTGTAATTCATTATTATCAGGAAGTCCTAAGAACTCCCTGAAAAGACTTCAGTTAATCCAAAATGCTGCAGCAAGAGTCCTGACAGGGACTAGAAAGAGAGAGCAGATTTCTCCTGTTTTGGCTTCTTGTTAAATCCAGAACTCAAAATCCTGCTCCTCACATACAAGGTCTTAAATAATCAGGCCCCATCTTATCTTAATGACCTTGTAGTACCATATCACCCTATTAGAGCACTTCGCTCTCGCTCTGCAGGCCTACTTGTTGTTCCTAGAGTATTTAAAAGTAGAATGGGAGGCAGAGCCTTCAGTTTTCAGGCCCCTCTTCTGTGGAACCAGCTTCCAGTTTGGATTCAGGAGACAGACACTATCTCTACTTTCAAGATTAGACTTCAAACTTTCCTTTTTGCTAAAGCATATAGTTAGGGCTGGACCAGGTGACCCTGAATCCTCCCTTAGCTATGCTGCAATAGGTGTAGACTGCTGGGGATTCCCATGATGCACTGGGTGTTTCTTCTTCAGTCACCTTTCTCAATCACTATGTGTTTATACACCTGACTGCACTAAATTATTAGTGATTCTCTTCCACAGTGTGTCTTTGTCCTGTCTTCCTCACCTAACCTTAACGGGTCACAGCAGATAGCCCCGCCTGTCCCTGAGCCTGGTTCTGCTGGAGGTTTCTTCCTGTTAAAAGTTTTTCCTTCCCACTGTCGCCAAAGCACTTGCTCATACCCACATAGCAAAATTGGTATGGCCCACACAATGTACTTACACATGGCCCACATACCGCAAAGAATGATGGCCCTTTGGTGGCCCAGATCAGGTTTGCCAGATGTGGCCCACACATGGGCCAGCACAAGGCCAGTTGCAGACACACTGGTGGTCCTGTGTTGGCCCATGTGCGGATTACCTCTGGCAAACCCGATCTGGGCCACCAAAGGGCTGTCATTCTTTGCTGTATGTGGGCCATGTGTAAGTTGTGTGCAGCCATGAGCCAGTTGCAGACACACTGCTGGCCCAGAACAGTTTCAGCTCTGGCCCCAGATGTCAGCCTAATGTGTAGCTTAATCAAGCCATGTAATAACAACATGTGCTGGAACATAATAGTGCAAAAGCAACATGACTAAACTCTGTTCAGTGAATGGACTGATTCTTATATAGCACTTTTCTACTCTCCCAGATTACTCAAAGTACTCATTACACATTGACCCATTTTCTCTAAACTGGGTGCTTCCTAACTACATTCACACTATTGACATGCAGACTGGAGGAGCCAGGGATCAAACCACTAACCTTCCAATCAGTCGGTGACCTGCTCTACCTCCTGAGCTACAGCCACCCACTGGCAAACATGAGTAAACCCTCACTAGGTTTTGGATAAAGTGTACACTCATGAACCTGTCAAACCTGCATTTGAAACGTTGGCTACCATAGCAGTATAGTATTGCAACATGGCATTTGGGTCTTCTAACTAAAATGGGAAAATAGGAACATAAATAGTGCCATCATTGCCAGACCTGGCCCACATCTGGTTGACATACACTCTGCCATGACACCAGTCAGTCAGAAGTACCAGCTTGATGCCGGACTCAGGGAAGACCTGTTTTGTATGAGCCTGGGCCACATGCACCAAACCACAATCGAGCCAGATGTGGCATGCCATCACATAAACAGTGCCATCTACGCCAGGGCTGGCCCACATCTGGATGACATACGGCTTATCATGCCAGAAGTCAGCCAGCAGTGCCGGCTTGATACCAGATCCGGGCCAGACCTGCTTGATATGTGGGTAGAAGGGTCATATGATTGCTGTGGTTTTCTATGTTTTGATTTTTTTGTGTATTGTTGTAGAGTCCTTAAATTACATTAATAAAACAACTGTTGTTGTGATTTGGTGTAACGCTAAGTTATTAAAGGACTAGTTTATGTCAATGGATGAATTTACTGACTGACGCGCAGAAGAAATAGTTCTTTATGGAGCCTAGATGGTGTGAATGATGAGACCAAAAACTGCAATGTCTTGTACCAAAAATATATTGAATAAATAGGGGAAAGGGGAAATGGAACAAAATAATTAACACAACACACAACGTAAATGTCCACAATTAAATAATAAATCAATGCTGTGATTTTTCTGTGCAAGAGTCCTTTTGCTAAGAGTCCTTTTTTTTGGTCCTTTTCTTTTTAAAGTTCACTTTTAAGGTATTCCTCCTCAGGGTCCAGCTTCATACAATGAGAAATATGTCCGTAATCCAAAGACGGCTAAGTGGGGGAAAAGAGGGGAAAACAAAGAATGGTCCTACCGGCTCGCCACTTCAATATGAAGAAGATCAATTCAAAGGGGAAAAAAAACCTGACCGCTGAGTTTAAAGTTTAAAGATGAATTGAGGAGAGAAAACGCTTTGTTTTCCAATACTGCTCTAAATGCCATAAGCTCACAGCCACAGCAGGAGTCGAACCCGGAAGTATCCCTCCACAGCCGGTTTTCAGAGTTGCTGCGACGTGAAAGGAGCCAATCAGAAGAGGGACCTCAAATCAGCTGACGTGGGTCATGTGACAGGCAGTAGTTGATATGGGTTACAGGTTCCCCCCTCGATCTCATGTACGTCCCTGTACATGGTGGTTGGGTCCGGATGACAGGTTGTTCAGTGGCAGTAAGCAGATGGTCCTCTTCATCCTCCAGTGCATGAGTAAAGGCAGTGGTTAAGCCATGGACGAGTGCCTGAATACTCTTCAAGATGAGCTGACCAAGCGTAGAGTATTGTAACCGGTCCGGAGGTTTCCTGGTCCGAGTTGATGTTCTCAGAGGTTCTAGTTCAGAGCTGGAGGTGTCAGAGTTAGATGGTAGATCAGCAGCAGAGGACATACTGGACTCAGTCGGCAATTCAACATTGGTAGGTTCAGCAGAGGACAGACTGTCCTCTGATTCCACAGTATCAGGAGCTTCCTCCTTGACGGGGGTTTCTGAGTCAGGGGTGTCGCTCTCTGCTGGCTCAAGAGAAGGCAAAGGGAGCGTAGCAGGTTCACAGACTGGTGTATCAGATGGTAAAGGTTCAGTGGCTGGAACGGCGGATGCCGGTTCTGGCAGATTGTGGACAGTGGTGAATCGCAGAGGCTCTGAGACAGGATCATACCATTGATGCGGTATCATTTCATCCTCATCGTCTGACTGAGGTTGTGCACAGTCCTCATCAGAAAGGTTGAATGACTGCTTCCCGGTTGGTTTTACAGTTGTTCGGTTGGTTCTAGTGGAATGCGGCAAAAATCCACATGGTAATAGGAGATCTCTGTGTAGAGTACGAATCGGTTTGGATTTGTTCTCTGGTCGGACAGTGTACACTGGAAGATTTTCTGCTCTTTTACCACCACATAGATGTCTGGTTCCCATTTGTCTGCATTTTGTGTTTGCCTCGGAGTTTCACGTTACGTACCAGCACCCTGTCACCAACGTCCAGTTCAGAGGGGGTGATATGTTGGTCGAAACGGCTCTTGTTTCTTTCCATGAGCTTCTCCGCATTGCCAATGGCAATTTTGTAGCTCTTTTCTAGATTTGACTTCAGGTTCTGGACATATTGCGAATGAGTGGGTTGATTGCCGTCCACAGGAAGTCCAAAGACCAGGTCAATCGGGAGGCGAGGTTGTCGACCAAACATGAGCTCATAGGGTGAGTAGCCAGTAACATCACTCCGGGTGCAGTTGTATGCGTGGACCAAGGGCTTAACAAAATCTTTCCAGTGAGTTTTCTCTTCTGTGGTGAGTGTTCCAAGCATATTCAGGAGTGTTCTGTTAAAGCGCTCGACTGGATTTCCTCGTGGATGGTATGGTGTAGTTCTTATTTTGTGAATTCCAGCCATTTTGCAGAGTTCTTTTATTGTGCGTGACTCAAAGTCTGGTCCTTGGTCACTATGGAGCTTTTCTGGGATACCATAATGAACCAGAAAATTGTCCCAGAGACATTTGGCGACAGTCTTTGCTTTTTGGTTTGGCGTGGGGGCAGCGACAGCGTACTTGGTAAAGTGATCTGTTATTACCAGGATGTCTTTGGTTCTGCTCCTGTCGGGTTCCAGTGATAAAAAGTCCATGCAAACCAGTTCCAGAGGTCGATAACTTTGAATGTTCACCAGGGGTGCCGCTCTTTCAGGTAAGGCTTTTCGTTTGGTGCATCTCTCACATGTCTTCACTTTATTCCACACATCATTGGCCATTTTCGGCCAGTAGAATCTTCGACGTACGAGGTCAAGAGTACGTTCGATGCCCAAATGACCCATCTTGTCATGCAGTTCTGACAGTACTTCAGCCCGAGATTTCTGAGGTAACACTAACTGGTGATAGAGCTGGTCCCCAACTTGCCTCCTCCTCACGAGAATGGCGTTTTGGAGCTCCAAACGATGTTGGTCTCGGAGTAGAAGGGGCAGTTCTGGGAGTTCATCCCGCAAGACGGAGTGGGCTTTCCCCAGTCTCTAGCAGCAATATGACATGCCTCAGGTCTGGTCTTCCCTCTGTCTCTCAGCGATTTCAGCATTTGTCAGCTGAGGAACAACAGGAGGTGCAAACTGAGTGTCGTTGATGAAGCTGTCAGGCAAACTGTCGGCATGGGCAGTTAGTGACTGGATGAGTGCGGTGGTGGACATCTTTTCAGCCATACTATAAACGAGCTGCCGGTCACAAAGGGCCTTGACTGTGCGTTGATCGATGGAAATTGAGGAAGACTGATCCAGAAGATGATGTTGGGCAAATCGGAGAATTCTCTCCCTCTCCTTTTGGGACATCTGGTCATTGGAGAGTTCTCCATGTGGCCTGCGAGAGAGAGCATCAGCATCTGGATTTTGCCTACCAGATCTGTACATGATTTTGAATGAAAATGTGGAAAGAGCAGAGAGCCAACGGTAACTGGTGGCAACTAATTTAGCAGAGGTAAGTAGATAGGTGAGTGGGTTGCTGTCAGTAATGACAGTGAAGTTGGTGCCGTAGAGGTAGTCATGAAACTTCTCCGTCACAGCCCACTTGAGAGCCAGAAACTCCAGTTTGTGAGCTGGATATTTTGACTCACTCCTCGACAGACCACGACTTGCATAGGCAATCACCTGGTTTTGTCCTTGTTGCTCCTGGTACAGAATAGCTCCTAGCCCGGTAGAACTAGCATCTGTATGGAGAAGGTAAGGCTTCTGGGATCGGCGAAAGCAAGTACTGGTGCCGTCGTGAGTTTTTTGATAATGGTGTCAAAGGCTTGTTGACATGCAGGAGTCCAGCGACTGGCAAGTGGTTCCTTAGGATCCAAATATTGCTCTCGCTTGAAGGTGGCTCTGAGTTTCCGCTGTGATGGAGGATATCCAGCAGTAAGGTCATGCAAAGGTTTAACGATGTTGGAGTAGCCTTGGATGAACCTACGGTAATATCCTGCGAAACCCAGGAAAGAGCGAAGTTCTTTAAGATTCTTTGGAACCGGCCAGGACTTAAGTGTCTCGATTTTATCTGGATCTGTCTGTACACCATCCTTTGACACAACATGCCCCAAGTATTTAACGGATTTCTGGAAAAACATGCACTTTTCAACTGAGAGCTTGAGTCCAAATTCCTTCAAACGGTGAAGGACTTTCAGTAGTCTCCTTCATGCTCTTCAAGTGTTGGTGCAAAAATAATCAAGTCGTCAATGAAGACCAAGACGTCTTTCAAGTTCATTCTCCATGCACTTTTCCATTAGTCGCTGGAAGGTACTGGGTGCGTTCGTGACTCCTTGGGCATTCTGTTGAACTCATAGAATCCAAGTGACATACAAATGCTGTTTTGCTCTTGTCTTCCTCCTCCATTTCAATCTGATAATAACCAGATTTAAGGTCAAGGACTGAAAACCATTCTGATCCAGAGAGAGCTGTAAAAAGTATCCTCCAACTTTGGCAATGCATATGCATCTTTGATGGTCTGCAGATTTAGTTTCCGGTAATCAATGCAGAGCCGCACACTCCCATTCTTCTTTCGCACCACGACAATGGGTGATGCAAGAGGTGACTCTGACTCTCTGATGACCCCAGAGTCAACCAGCTCCTTCAGGTGTTGGCGCACAGCATCCAAATCTTGAGGATGGATTGGTCTTGGGCGCTGTTTGAAGGGAGTAGGGTCAGAGAGCTTTATCTGATGTTTCACTTTGTCGGTTTTCCCAAAGTCAAGGTCGTGTTTTGCAAAGACATCATGGAGGGCGTTAACTTCTCAGTAATACGACTCTTCCATTCCGGTGTTAAGGGGAGTTACCAAAGTTGAAGTTGAACCCAGAGGTCACAGGGTTAGGAGGCATACTGTCATGACTCCTTTCTGACACTGAATAGACTGAATGGCACTGATCTCCGCAATGATGGCTTTGGCTGGGAGGGTTACGTCATGATCAGACTGGTTGCAGATTACCACAGGTAAGTGGTATGGCTGGTGAGAAGGGAAATCCATGAACAAGACGGGACCATTAAGCCACCTGGCAGAGGCGACGAAGTTGGATGTTCCACCACACAGCCTTCTCGGCCTGGAGGCAGCGTCCGCAAATTAACCCTCCAAGGCAACAGTTTTTCCAGCTGGGATGGTCTGTGGTCCGTCAGTGTGCAGCTTGATGATTCCATGATGGTTACTGTTGGCCAGTCTGTATCGTTGCTCAAGGATTTTCAGCACCGTTCTGTATCCATGTGGGGCTGGAATGGAGGGTTGTTGGTCTGAGAATGCTCTCTCATATGCCAAGTCCAGAGTGTTTGTACCAATCAGTATTAACGGCTGTTGAGCTGATTGGACATCAGGAACTACCAGGGCAAGTGTGTCAACAGCTGTGGTGGAACCCAAGAAGTCGGGAGGGAAAGTGACATTCAGCTCCACATAACCAAGGTATGGAACAGCTTGGCCATTTGCTCCTTCTATTTCCAGTAGATTTTTCAGAGGTTGTATTTCATGGTCAGAAAGATAATCATGGTGGAAGGAGTGAGAGATGGTGGTTACCTGAGACCCAGTGTCTAACAGGCAGTTGAATACAGTTCCTCCAATCGTGACCTGTGCTGTGCTTCTGGTTCCAATGAGTCCTTTAGGCAATGTGATGGAACGTCCATCCTGCTTGTAACTGGGACATGGGTCGATTGCAGCCTCCGTCTGTCCCTCCACAGAGACTGCCTCTAGTTTGACGATTTGTTATTGCTGTCCCAAACCTGCTGTCTTTTTCAAGTTGTTTCTTCTTTTCAGAACCAGTGTCGGGTTCGGAGGGTTGGCGCATCCTGCTGACATGTGCCATCCTCTCCACATTTAAAGCAGTAGCCTGCTCTAGGCCGGGAACTGGTTGCACTGCTGCTGGGTCTTGGTTGTGCTGATCTGAGTTGAGGTGGTGCTGGCTTGGAGAATTGAGATTTCTGTGAGAGAAGAGCAGCCATTTGACTCTGCAGTTTCTGCATCTGTTGCTTCAGCTCATTAATAGCCTTGGTGTCTGAATGGCTACAAGCAATGTGCTCTGGAATGAACAGCGGCACGAGGCTTGGATGCAGTTAGTGCTTCTTCATGAGATTCTCCTTGGCCAGCTGTCTACCCTCCTCAGTTCGAAGCAGTAGGAGGAGCTCTGCAAAATATGGGGGATCGCTCCTCAAGTTCTCCAACTGTAGTTTGTTTAGGATATCGCTATCCCAGCATCCTCGACAAAACTGCTTGAGTAAATGTTTGTTGAAGTCTGAAGACAAGTTACCACCTCTTTTCATCACAGTGTTTAATGTGAGTTGTAAACGTTGCAAAAAAGCAGAGGGTTTCTCACCCGGATCCTGTAACGTATTCAGGAATTGAGCAAACAACTCTTCACCATCTTGTACCAAAGCAAAAGCAGAATCCAACACTTTTAAATAGATTGATGGAATTGTGTTTGAGCCCAGCCCTTTCACAACATCTGCTGCCGGAGGTAGCAAACTTTCAAGGATGCGACGAGTGATCTGTAGAGGTGCCAAATTTGGATCTGCTAACAGCAGTTCAATGTGAGATCTCCAGGTCTCATAATCTGTTTCGTTAGCTGGTTTGGGGATCTTCCCAGAGAAAGGACGAAGTCTGAATGCAGATACGGTGTCTGCTTTACAACATGCTCCACCACTACCTTTTGTATTTCCGGGGGGTTCATTTCAGTCTGTGACAGTGAAAATCTTTGTGGATGTGGCAGTGACCCCTGTTGGTCAGGTGAGGGATTGCTGGTAGCCGTCTCAGGGATTGCGGAGTGTCCAGACAACGACCCCTGCTGGCCAGGCAGAGATGATGCAGGCTCCACAATTTGGACTGAGGCTCCCTCTAAGTCACTGTCTTGTTCGATTCCTTCCAGATGCTCACTAATTTGTCCCATCATTTCCCGCAGAATATCTGGGAATTCCCTGCCGCTGCGGCGTGCAAGTTGCTTGAGCTCGCCGAGGTAATCTGCAGGGGTCCTGACTCCTCCTGTGGCTGTGCATTCTGCGGCAAGCGATCTTACGCAAAAAGTCAAAGCCGAGTGATTCTTTGACTGATGAGTATATGGGAAAAACGTATTAAGAGTAGTTATCGCAGAACTATCACAATATTCAACGATCAGGTTTTTGTAAAAAACACTATTTGCGTCATCCACGAAAATAACCGTTTTTATACGACCGTATTGTTTCAAATAATCAAGAATTTCCTCATCTTTCTCAGTGTTTGTGGCACCAGAAACAATGACAGAATGTGCAACATTGGCCCCACTTTCCTGAATAAACTTCATTTTTTCTTGTCGCGGACCTTATCAAAACCACAGAAATTACCGAATATCAAATTACATCAAATAACACAAAAAACCCCCCAAAAAAACCCCTCATTCACCCATCAGGCTCCTGGCTGGCTCGCCACGTGTAACGCTAAGTTATTAAAGGACTAGTTTATGTCAATGGATGAATTTACTGACTGACGCGCAGAAGAAATAGTTCTTTATGGAGCCTAGATGGTGTGAATGATGAGACCAAAAACTGCAATGTCTTGTACCAAAAATATATTGAATAAATAGGGGAAAGGGGAAATGGAACAAAATAATTAACACAACACACAACGTAAATGTCCACAATTAAATAATAAATCAATGCTGTGATTTTTCTGTGCAAGAGTCCTTTTGCTAAGAGTCCTTTTTTTTGGTCCTTTTCTTTTTAAAGTTCACTTTTAAGGTATTCCTCCTTAGGGTCCAGCTTCATACAATGGGAAATATGTCCGTAATCCAAAGACGGCTAAGTGGGGGAAAAGAGGGGAAAACAAAGAATGGTCCTACCGGCTCGCCACTTCAATATGAAGAAGATCAATTCAAAGGGGAAAAAAAACCTGACCGCTGAGTTTAAAGTTTAAAGATGAATTGAGGAGAGAAAACGCTTTGTTTTCCAATACCGCTCTAAATGCCATAAGCTCACAGCCACAGCAGGAGTCGAACCCGGAAGTATCCCTCCACAGCCGGTTTTCAGAGTTGCTGCGACGTGAAAGGAGCCAATCAGAAGAGGGACCTCAAATCAGCTGACGTGGGTCATGTGACAGGCAGTAGTTGATATGGGTTACAGCTTGTATAAGAATTTCTTATATTTATGTATTATTCATATTATGTTATTGTATAATGCCTTGGTGCCACTGGATTTTAGCATGTCTCACACTCATGCAGTTACACAGATGGTGGGAGTCTGGTAAGGAAGTTGGGGGGAAGCAGAACTCCACAGGAAGAATCTTTTGTCTCTTCGAGGACTCTGGGAGGTAGCAAGGGAGTGTGAAGCTTAAGGTGTGAAACAGCGGTGCACTGCCTTTTGTTCCTGAAGAAGGTTTTTTAACTGAGAGCCACGCTAGGCTCAGGGAGACTCTGCTGACCGTCTGCCCCGCGGTCATGCAGGCTCTCCACCAAGCTTGGTTTTCTGTTCTTTGTTTTGATTAAAGAATGTTAGCTGCCGCTCACCGTATGTATGCAGGCTTTATTTAATGGAAAACTTCCACAACATTCCATACAAATAAAATCTGTGCAAAAAGCAAGACTGAGAAAAAAGATATTTTTTAGCACCAAAAATGGTGTTTATGTATCCGAGGTGCTACTTATGTGTTTAGTTTGTACAAATAAAAGAAATACTCTACACCTAAAATCACCTACACCAACAAGCAGTCATAGCTAGGGATCGGGATTGGTCCCAGTAGTTTGATGCTGTGTAAGTCAGTCCAGTTACCATTTAAAAATGGGGCTTTATCTTTTATCTCTATAGCACAAAATTTGCCAGTGCTGTTGTTACCTTCTGTGTTTTTCTTGGGGAGCAGCATTTGCTTGGTATTGTCGAGGTGTCCATCATTGATCTCTGGGTTTATTCCTAGTAAATGGCACATGAGTGGGTACACATTAACAGTCTCAAAGGGCCCAACCACTAAATCCTTCTGGAAATCAGGCCCAACTGCCCTGAAGAAAGGCTTCATGTCCATCACTTGATTGTCAAAGCCATGCTCTCCTTTGTTGAACTGCACAGGGAAGAACTAGAAGTTGAGAGAAAACAGAGAAAACCATGAGTTGTGGAAAAGAGTAAGTATATGTAACTATACATTTGATCATTTTTGTTTCCCTGAGTTATGATTTGAAGTTTTACTCAGTAGGACCACATCATGCTGTGCAAAAGGGTAGTTGATGTTATCCTCAAGGTTTCAGAGATACTAAGAGCATGGCAGGAGTTTACCTCTTATTATCCACTAAGTCTTGGGTGATCTGACTAGGGACAGTGTTGGGTTGTAGCCACATGCTAAAGAGTCACATTTTCAGAAAGTAGATGGGCATGCATTCTCTCACCCCATTGATTACGTATCCTGGATCAGCAAAAAGGATGATGGGAAGGAGTCGAGCATGTTTACTATAGTGCAGCCACACTGGCATCTCATCCTTTTTATACACATGAAGATGTGGGTGACTTCCTTTGAGGGCACTGTAGACCTTCTCAAGCATCCCATCCTTAGGAAGCAGCATCCCAACAGGTCCATAGTCCACCAGATGGAACTGGATATCACTGAAGTTGAAACCAGGAATCTTATAGAGGATGATCTCTTCAACCTGTGCACCCCGTAGAACAGTAGTCATCCCATGGTCAGCAGTGATAATAACGTTGAGTCGGTCAGTAAGGCCATGATTTTGGATTTTATCCCTGATGTAGCCCACAGTACGATCCACTTGTTGAACCATTTCCCGGCGTTCTGGGGAATCTGGTCCATATCGGTGCCCAGTCCCATCTGGTTCTCCAAAATACAAAGAGACAAAGTCCAGGTCCTGTTGGTGGAACCACTCTCCAATCACTTTGTCGATGTTCAGCCTCCACTCTGTTTCATTAGAATAATCATATAAACGTGGTTCCACTTCCCTCACCCTGACAGTCTCCCCTTTGTAGGTGGCTGCTATGCCAGGGAAATGTAGAGATCCTGCTTTGAGACCCTGGAAGGAGATGTAGGAGACGAGGAAGGACATTAAACTACATTAAAACAAGGGAAACAGCTTCATGACACAGGAACTTTAAATCATTGAGGTACGGTACAGACAAATCTAAAGAACCTGTCTCTGTGCTGTTATCCAGATGGGTAAGCTGCCGTTGTCCCAGTATGAATCAACAAACTGAGTCATGTAGTACCCCTTCTTCTCCTGAGTAGTAGTGTTGAACCACATGTTATGGATTACTCCGTGATTCTCAACATAGCGTCCTGACAGACAGAAGAAAGAAACACTAATGAGGAGCGTTAAGAGAACGTAAGGGTAAATGTTAAAAGTCCTTCGGTAATATACCATATTTTTCGGACCATAAGGCACACCAGATTATAAGACGCATCAACCACTAACATCAAAATATGATCCTTTGTGTTTGTTCTCAGATTTATGTACAAACACTTCTGAAAGGATGGTCTTGCAGCAGATGTAGATCACGTTGGCTTCATCTTTTTAAAAGACTGTTTCTATTTGTGTTTGTTTGAATTCTGTTTCTATAAGTCAGTCTGCCACTGTGAGCAGGGATGACTGTGGCTCAGCTGAAGAAGCTCGTTGGAAATAAAGGTGCATCTACCATCACATCCACTACAGTGGACAGTTGGTCAGACCTGAGCTAAATCTACATCTCTTTGTACTAGCAGGAGGTTTGTTGTGTACCCGTGGTCCAGCCACTGCTCAATAGACACAGAGACTTTAGTAACATCTGAACAACAACCACAGTCGTATTTAGAAAAATGAAGCACAAATTATGAAAGGAAACATGTGTGCAACTTTTACTCCTCAGTATCCAGGAGAAAGTATAAAGTACACTTCAAACCAATGGTGTGAATGTTATTAATGCACTAGATGAAACAAGTAGGGATAGTTTATAGTGAAACAACATTGCTTTAATAATACTGCGATATAACTAATATTTATTAGATTAATTCTTAATCAGACATCAGTGATGTCTGTATAAATCCAATGAATTCACAGTGATCTTTGCACTGGCATATCTTATTATTTTTTATTGATAAAGCTGCACATAGCCTTCTAGTTCTTCTTCTTTATCCCAGCTGTCTTAGGACGAGAGGCGGTGTACACCCTGGGCAGGTCACCAGCCTGTGGCAGGGCTAACACATAGAGACAGACAACCATTCACATCTATGGGCAATTTAGGGTTCCCAATTAACCTAACCTCACTAACTGCATGTCTTTGGACTTTGGGAGGAAGCCAGCGAGAGAACCCACATGAACAGTGCTAACCACCATGCAGCCCTAAGTGAATAACTAATATCTCTCTAATATCATTCTCTTTTTCAATTCAATTTATTTATAGTTTCAAATCACATCAAGAGTCGCCTCCACGCTGGATCTCAGCGCGCTTCATCAGACAGCTGCAGCTTAATGTTGGTCTAAACGAGGACTGGTTTATACCCGTTCATGGACAATTCTGTTTTTGTACCAGTAAGGTGCAACAACTTATCTAAGCTCTCTAGAATATAATATTATCCAGACGTTAAGACTTTTTAAATACCTGTGAGCAAAGTGAAGTGCGTGGGGTTGGTAATGGTGATGAAGGGCGGTGTGACGTATTGTGCCTTCACCCCATCCTTAGCCATCTTATCCAGGTTAGGGGTGTCCACATCTTGGTCATAGTTCCAGCGGAAACCATCAAAGGAGATGAGCAGCAGCTTGTTCCTGGTGGGCTGAGCTCTCCTAGTGTCCCGCATTGGGACAGCAGCACAGGAAAGGCTGCCTACGAGGCAGAAGGCAGTCAGGCAACACAGCAGCATCACAAAGGATCTCAGGCTACACTGAGCTGTGTCAGCATACCTGCTTCTCTACTCTCAGTATTGCTGTTTCCAGTGTTGACGCCTATGTTACTGCTGTTACATAAGTATCACATGTAATCTGATCTGACAAGATGCTCTCTCTTATCAACCCATAAAAAACTGAAATCTAAACTCATATCATTTGATCATGAGTTACAGGTTAATCCACTGTTATTGCCTTTCAATTACTTTATCTGGGAAGGAAGAACCCCTCAGATATCATGAATTGTTGGGAGATGAGGTCAAAGAGAAGACAGCAAAGAGAGATTTGTATCTTTCAAAATGCACACCAAGGTTGTATTTTTGATGTGAATTATGTTCAATTGTATTTTATTAACTTAATTGGTCTCAGCTAAATTGCCTCATTATTATATCACATCATAACAAAGAAGAAAGTTCATGTTCATGAGCACTACAACATCCCATAATAGAGATTGAAAATGTGACGTCATTTCCGGGGTAAAACCACAAAGGATTGTAGGTACGAGTGGCAAGCGGTACTAGCGCACGCAGGCTTTCACATGAAAACAGTCACACAGCGATAAAAAGAAACACAAAGAAAGGCAAGAAGCTGTTGTATTATTAACTGCAATAGCCGGTCGCATCACAGCCACGGGAAGCCGACGGGTAAAGAGATTGGTATTTATCAGATTCCGTCGTGGAAGAGAAATTGTTCAAGTCATGTTTCCGAAGTAACAGAGCCACGGATGGCCTGGGTTGCAGCCATTCGAAGACGTCCCAAAACACTCCAGCTCACAGGTTAGTCTGCTCCAAGCATTTCCACAAAGGTCAGTCTTCTGTTGTAGTTATTATGTAATTTATCATAATTGTTGATGAAGGTTACAAATAAGTCTTATATTGATTTGAAGTGAATTCGTTGCTTTGCTGCTTTGTTCACTGTGGCTTTGCGGGCTAATGTTTGTTGTGTTTTGTAGGAAAACCAGCCTACAAAATGCAGGAATGTGATCCAGACTGGGCCCCTCTATCAACCTGGGCAGAGATGGGCAGTAACGTGTTACTTGTAACATGTTACTGTAATCCGATTACTTTTTTCAAGTAATGAGTAAAGTGAGGGATTACTATTGCAAAAAGGGTAATTAGATTACCATTACTTTCCTGTAGGAACGCTGCGTTACTGCGTTACTAAAACCATGATTTTTTTTTTGCGAGAATGTCTCATGACAGTGACATAAGCGAGTGCGACGTTCGTGGCAACAGCTGTGTGCAGATCAACAATGGATCACATATCGAGTGAAAAAGTAAACTGGACCTGGGCTTGTTGCAGGGGTCTGAAGTTACTAAACATTTTGTGAGTGTATGCACTAAAACTTAGGATCATATAATAATAAATATGTGCATGATGAAAGTTGGGCAGCACGCTAACGTCCTTACTCCCCTCTGTATGCTCGTGTGGGTCTGACCCTTTCACTCCTTTGATTTTTTCCTCCTCCGTTTTTTGCCTTTTCGTCACGTATGTCTTTGTACGGAGCTGCCGTGCTCTCCGTCGTTTCGTACATAACTCTTTTTGGGGCAAAAAAAATTGCAGGTATGGATTAAGGTATGGTGTTCATCTGAACAATAGACTGGACTGGACTCATAACTCAGACGCCCTCTACAGGAAAGGGCAGAGCAGGCTGTACCTGCTGCGGAGACTCAGGTCGTTTGGAGTGGAGGGCCCACTCCTGAAGACCTTCTATGACTCTGTGGTGGCTTCTGCTATCTTTTATGGTGTGGTCTGCTGGGGCGGCAGCATCTCTGCTGGGGACAGGAAGAGACTGAACAGGGTGATCCGAAGGGCCAGCTCTGTTCTAGGATGCCCTCTGGACCCAGTGGAGGTGGTGAGTGACAGGAGAACGGCGGCTAAGCTGTCATCCCTGATGGACAACATCTCCCACCCCATGCAGCAGACTGTGACAGCACTGAGCAGCTCCTTCAGTGGGAGACTGCGGCACCCACGGTGTGGGACGGAGAGATTTCGCAGGTCTTTCCTCCCCACTGCTGTCAGACTCCACAATAAAGACTTTAACTGAACAAACACACACATCCATACATATGCAATAATACTAAGTGCAATAATCCTTTCTGTCATCGTTGTATTTTTACTCAGTTGTATATAGTATTTGTATTTGTATTCTATTTTTATCTTATTGTATATTTATTTTATTTTATTCTACTGTATATAGTATTTTATTCTATTCTGTACAGTTGTGTACTGTATTTATTCTTATTGTATTCTAATTTTTGCCTCATAACTTTTGCACTGTCCACTTCCTGCTGTGACAAAACAAATTTCCCACGTGTGGGACTAATAAAGGTTATCTTATCTTATCTTATCTTAAAACTGTAGAATTAATGATAACTGGTGCTGGAAATGCTAGCACTTGATCCAGTGTTTTGATTCTGCTGCCACTCGTAGCTACAATGCAATGCGCGAAAGTCACGTGGTCTGTCGATCTCTATAGGCCAACCACTCAGCCCACACAACCTCCCAGCAGGACCAGCAGGTGGCACCTGTGCTCTGTGGCAGGGGCAGACCTCTGTCACCCACAGTCTGTGTCCTCCTAACAAACACTGTGTACAGGTGAAGCCCAAAACCCCACCATGCCCCCACCACCACTCTCCCCCGTGACTATAGTATCATATGTCTATAAATTTGTTATTATAAGTACATCTCTGCATAACATTGCATCCATATTAACATTAACGAAAACAAAAGAAAAACGAAAGAAATATAGATTCAATTAAAACAAAGAATAACTTTATTAACATTTTTATTTTAGTCTGTAACAGAAAATATTTCATGTGCTTATAGTAGTACTGCAACTCTCTAAACTACTACAACACTTAAAGTAAATCAATTTGCCTGAAATAAAAAAAAAAACTCATTTAAACTATAAACATCTTTTGACCGACTTGAACCGATTTTGATTCTGAAAAATAAAATTAGATTTAAATCGATCAGCAACATTAACTACTCAGTAGTCTCCCACCATAGTCACAGTGACGCCAAGCGCTGCAAATGCTTGGTCATATTTTCATCACTGGATTTAAATCTTACTGGTATTAATGGTAGAGACCAGCAGGGGCGGATCTACGGTGGTGGCATAGGGCAGTATGTGCCACCCTGGTCGATGCTTTGAGGAGGTCCAGCTACAGTTAACATTGGATATGTCATGATCCTGGGCCAT